ATATCGTATTGAATCGAAAGCTCACTAAATCGAGATATGCATCGTATCGTGGCCCATGTATCGAGGAATATATCGTATCGGCAACTTCTTATTGATACCCAGCTCTGCTTCTAACACACAGGGATACAGCGTAAGAAGATGGGAGGGCATCTGACACACGAGTATAGCCTCCTGGGAGCTGAAGAAAAACAGTGTATTGCAATATACAGTACCGTATTTTTCAGACTATAAAGCGCAGTTAAAAACCTTAAATTTTTTTACTTTATGCCTTATGTATTAATTCTGGTTGTGCTTACTGACCTCGAACTGATTTTACATGGTACACGGTGCTCAAAAATCTGTCAAAATTAGTATGACTTTGGTAAACTACGAAGCTGCACCGGTTGATGGATTGTCGGTCGGAGCATTACGGCTACTGCAGTCAGGAGACACGAAGTCCGACAGAAGCTGAACGCATCAGCGCACAAGAAGTGAGCTGTTTTTTTCAGAGCTTATAGTTTATGTAAATGAGCCATGTGGTTTAAATTTTGTTTCTGTAAAACGTAAACAAATGTGCACAAAACTGCATTAAACACATTATTACTCAATGTATATTTGAGTCGTCCTCGTAGGAAATGATCCACCCACATTCACATTCATAATCCACATTCACCGGGACAGAGAGACAACGCCGGGCGAATTACACCTCGATCTGCCGATGGATCGTGGACGCCTGGACTAAGGATCAGTCTCAAGTGTCGTCTGTTTCGCTTAATGCCCCTTATAATCTGGTGCGCCTTATAGTCCAAAAAATACAATACTTTTTTTTGTGATTTTCTATCTATTTGGAGGTAAATGAACACCTTAGCATTTAGATTTTTTTTTTCATTTTATTTTTACTTATAAGTTTGTAACATGTCCTCTGTAATGGACATTTTGGTGTTAAATCAATGTACAACGCACAATGCAGTTTTTATTTATTTTTTAATCATAGTGCAGCTACAAACTAACTCCTATTGAGTTCATTTTTTATCCTGGACATGACAGTACCTATCATCCTCCGGCTCTATTTAGGCAGAAGAACGTTGTCCCTCCATTAAGAGTCGATTTTAAAACGGGTTAACTCAATGTCCACTAGAAATGACACAAATAAATGGGCCGGGTCTCAGAAGGATATAAAGACTGGGAGGGCATCTGATTTAAATGTACCTCAGTATTCAATCCCTTTTAGTAACATTTTGTCCCGATTTTTTCTTATATTTAAAAAAAAACTCGTCCCAAACCTCTTCATGGAAACAATATTTTAGTCTAAAGTCTAAAAGTTTTTATTCAACGGAAAGACACGAGAGTTTAATATAACACACAAAAAGAACAAACATTCACCGTATTTCTTTTCAATCTAAAATGTGGAGTGGCTTTAGTACGGAAGATCATTTGTTCCATTAGATTCTGAATTTTACATCTCACTTAACTCTGAAAATAGATGTTTATTCTGAAGTTTAGTTGCTGAAATTGTAAGTGTACTTTTAAAATGTGCTTCAAATTCAAAATAAATAGCACCTTTTAAATATTCAGCTCATATATGTTCAAGTCCTCGTCTAATAGACCTTTTTTACCGTGGCCGGAAGTGCTCCGTTTTAGTTTAGTGTAACTTTCGGTTAAAGGTTTTCTGTGGCAAAATGTCTGTGTAAATGTCTGACACGTCTAGGACACATAAGGTTAGTTTTGTTCAGTGTGTCACTAATGCGTCGTCGTTGTTCTCCTTTAAGTTTTTGTCTTTCTTACTTTGACAGTTGTGGATAAATTCTTCATGAAGAATGTTTATCCTTTGTGAACCTTGTTGGTTGAAGATTTGGTGATGGGGCAGATTTACGAAGCTGCTGGAGAAAACACAAAAGATTTACACACATATTTTGCCACAGAAAAACATTAACCGGAAATTCCACGAACCTAAAGCGAGGCACATCCGACCGTTGTGAAAAAGGTTTATTCTGACCAATCAGATCACTTCGCTAAACCGTTTCCTGGTTGTTACTAAGTTAGATCAAATCACTCTGGATCGATTGCTTCTGCCTTGGAATTTTGGATTTTTGCTGCTATTTTTTATTTATTTATTTTTTTTCACTGCGAATTTTACACTTTGAATAATTTTGATTGTTGAATTTGAGGGCGAAAAATATCTGTGCTGAATATTTTTGTATTAATTTAGTTTTATTGTTTTTAATTTAATTTAATTTGAATTTGAGAAGGTGTTTTTTTTTTTTTTTTTTTTTTCAATTGAATTTGTTTTCGGAATGTTTTCGGAAAACAAGAATAAACACATTTTTTTTAGCAAGCACATTGTAAAGTTAGGCAGATATCACAATTTGCCCCCAAAAAAAATTACCTCGGCAATTAACGAAATAAAAAATGTAAACTTAAAACTTCAACTGCCATTTCAGAATAAAAATGATTCAAACATGTTTTTTTCAGAGTGAGAAATTCAGTGCTATTTAAAATTCTAAATCTGATGAAACAAATTCTCTTTGGTACTTCTGTGATGTAAAAGTTTAATATAATGTAGTCAGAATGGGACCTCCACTGAGAGCTTCGGTTTCCCGCCAAAACCACCTGTCGGCCATTTTGTGTCCGAGGGAAAGAAAAGGCGTTCATATTTTACAGACTATTTTTGATTTGATTAAAGCTGCACTGTGTAACTTTTACACTGAAGAGATGTTGTCTGGAATGTTCCACAGTATGGCATTACACTGATTTATCTCTATGGAGACACAGGAGCTGGTTACAAGTCAAATCCGTGGAGAGGCGAGCGCACTCACAGTAAGAACGCAAGTTTTTAGGTCCATAAAAACCCATGTTATTGAGTTTTGTTATTATTGTTATTGGAAACGTTTAATGCCACACTGGGACATTCCAGACAAAGCAACAGCATCTCCATGGAGACAAACAGACGGCAGACCATCCACCAGAAAAGTTACACAGTGCACCTTTATGTTTGAAGGAAAGCTAAGGTGTTTTACTGATTATTTTTGATGCACTGTGCAAGTTTTACATTGACGAGATGTTGCCTGGAATGTTCCACAGTATGACATTACGCTTATTTGTCGCTACGGAAACACCAGGTGACGCCACAGGGCCTGGTTACGAGTCAAATCTTATAGGTCCATAAAAGCATGTTATAATTGCATCGTTTAATGCCACACCGGGACATTCCAGACAAAGCAATGACATCTCCACGGAGACGAGCATCGGAAAAGTTACACAGTGCAACTTTAAGCACAATTTTATGTAGAAATCGAGTTAATTAAAAGACACACATTTTTATTACGTTCATTTTTGTTGGAAAGACATTCAGAAGGGGCTAAAAATGTCTAAAATCACGAAACCAGGTGTAAAAAAAACAAAAACAAACCCAGACTAAACGAGGGCATCTATTTTCATTCTACTTAAAATCTTTAGTTAACATTTGCCACGTTTACATGATGTTCTTTAATTCCGAAATAAATGTTCTGAATTTAAATATTCTCCTTCGAGTTTACATGGAAATAATAATTCCGAACTGAGGTTTACATGGAAAATACGTTAAATCGTCTTTATTTAATTAAGCTGCTACCGTCATCTCAGTTTGTCGTTACGCCGCGGACACAAACACGATCCAAACGTTTTCCGCGGTGATGATAATTGTGCAGCAGTTTTAGAATTCTCTCATCACACTTTACGTCTGTCAACTGAGGAGGAGAAGGAGGAAGAAGACAAACTGAGTGTGAGGCTGCTCTACCTCAGCTCACTCCCGCATCCCGCTCACTAATCCCAACGATGAACCCAACGAGCATGAACTGAACGACCGGGATTATTTTTAAATAGAATAAACATTTACATGATCGAGGTATAAATTAATTCAGCTTTAAAATCAGAATAAACCACCCACTTACTTCAGAATTAAGTTGAATTCCTTTTAATTAACCATTTTCATTAGGAATTAAGTGTTTACATGGTCTTTTAAAAGCGGAATTAATACATTTTTATTCAGAATTACATATACATTTATCCGGAATATCATTATTTTTATCTGGAATGACATTATTTTTATTTGGAATGACATTATTTTTATTCAGAATTACATAATTTTGATTCAGAATTACATAATTTTTATTCAGAATTACATTATTTTTATTTGGAATTACATTATTTTTATTCAGAATTACAATATTTTTATTCAGAATTTCTAAAAAATTATTCAGAATTACGTGATTTTCATTCAGAATTAAAGCTCTCATGTAAACGTGGCAACCGAGTCAAAAATATTTTCAGGGGAATTGGAGTAACTGTAAAAAATGTCTGTATTATTGCTTGAAAATATTGTTGGTGTTTTAGCATAGACTGGACATAGCTAAATAGGAAGTGAGCATGGGGGCGCTTCCCGGCTCCATCGACTCTGGCTCCCGTTCGCTTTTTATTGAAAATCTCTGAGCCACGTGATTTTGGTCATAAAATGTTCGTATTAACACGCATTTTATTTGACGATTTTGTCTCTAAATTAAGACATGAACATTAAAAACAGACCAATGAGCTGCCTTCTTAGTGTTAACTTCAACAACCTGGCTCCTGATTGGCTCTTTGGTTGCTATGCGGTTCGTTTGAGTGGAGCCGAACGCCGCCGGTGACGTCACGCTCACTTCCGCGTCCACTTCGTTACGGGTTTTGGTCACATCTAATCGCGGGGTTTTAAGTCGTGTGTTTACATCTGAGGCACTAGAACTAAACCAGGACTAAACTAGAACTAAACCAGGACTAAAACAGGTCCGGGTGCAGGCAGGTACCGACGGCCTCAGTGGCACCTCCTCTTTCTTCTAACTCACAGTGGTTCAAAGCTCCCAGAATGCATTGCAGTGGCCACGGCCCCTGACTTGAGCGGGCTTTTGGTCGGTCCTGGTGCATTGTGGGAAAGAGCAGATGCATTGTGGGTGGGTGTGTGTTGCTTCAGAGTCTCGGGGGTTGGGGGGGTAGATTCCCGAAGCGTCTCCTCACATGGGGGGCACGATCAGACCGGCCATCGCTGCAAAACAAAACACAAGATGCAAATTTCATAAAAAAGAATCAAAATGAGCTAAAACACATGATTTCAGATGGAGGAAAAACTCTGTGGTTCAAAATCCGTGTATCATTCGATTTTCAATATAAAACCAAAAATAAGAAAATTAAAAAACAACAATTTTCTTCATTATTTGTCTCCAAAACCAAAATGAAAAAACAGATAACGATTTGTTTTTTTCAGTTTTCGGTTTTGTGTTTAAATGAAAAATGGAAAAAACGGATAATGTTTCCCGTTTACGTGACTTAAACTGAGATGCTGGACTGAACCAGGACTAAACCAGGTCTAAAACAGGACTAAAACAGGACTAAAACAGGACTGAACAGGTCTAAACAAGCTCTAAACCAGAACTGAACCAGGACTAAACCAGGTCTCAGTTCTGGTCCCAGTCTCAGTCCTGGTCTTCGTCCAGGTCTGGTCCCGATCTGGTCCCAGTCTGGTCCCGGTCTCAGTCCCGGTCGCAGTCCTGGTCTCAGTCCAGGTCTGGTCCCAGTCTGGTCCTGGTTCCCTTATCACCCGACAGTCTACGAGGGCGCACATCCGGGCCCGTTCCGATACTCCAGATTCAGTTCAGGTTTAGTCCTGGTTTAGGACTGAGACCAGGACTGGCCCAGGACCAGGACCAGGACTGAGACCGGGACTGAGACTAGGACTGAGACTAGGACTGAAACTGGTTTAGATCTGGTCTCAGTCCCAGTTTGGTCCTGGTCTCAGTCTCGGTCCAATCCCAGTCTCAGTCCCAGTCCCGGTCTTGTCCCGGTCTGGTCCCAGTCTCAGTCCTGATCTCGGTCCTGGTCTCAGTCCCGATGTCAGTCTTGGTCTGGTCCTGGTCTGGTCCCAGTCTCAGTCCCAGTCCCAGTCCTGGTTTAGACCTGGTTTAGTCCTGGTTCGGTCCAGCATCACAGTTTAAGTCACAGAAACGGGAAATGGCCGTTATCCGTTTTTTCCATTTTTCATTTAAACACAAAATCGAAAACTGAAAAAACGATTCATGATCTGTTTTTTCATTTTCATTTTGGAGACAAATAATGAAGAAAATAGTTGTTTTTTTCATTTTCTTATTTTTGGTTTTATATTGAAAAACGAATGAAGGAATGATACACAGATTGTCCACATACAGGGCTCCCACTTTCTCACTGAACAACATTTCAAAACTTTTCCATGACTTTTTCATGACCTAAAGTGAATTTTCCATGACTTTACGGCACCTACATGTATAGAACTGATCAGACTTTAGAACTAAATATGAAATGTTAACTCTTCCCACTCACCTTATGGTTTGGTTTTATAGTTTTTAACATTTAATACTTTATACTTTAATACTGTCAGTGCATTTATTGTCGTCTCTTTTAAACAAAAGGTGCAGACGTTTGGGAATAATCATAATAACCCAGGGGTCTCCAGGAGCCACCAATAACTCTCCACCCCCTTCAAAGTCGCTCGTCAAGGGATTTCTGAATTCTGTGTATTGTACTAAATAAGTAAAATTTGATCAGTTACTATTGCAAATATATAATTTTGATGTCCCACTGTGCACTGATAAATAGATAATAGTTTATGTTTTATATTCATCTAACTGTTCCCTGTCTAAGTCTCGCCACGGCTTTTATTTATACTCAGTTTTTTTGCGACGGCTAAAATGAGTCGTTCTCTGACATTTTTGTTTTGTAAAAGTAGCTCACTGAAGGAAAAAGGCTGGAGGTCCGAACGCTGTAGTTGCGTGAAAGAGATACTAAAATTCCATGACTTTTCCAAAACATTCATTGAGTTTATAAAATACCATGACTTTTCCATGACATTTTCAATTTCCATGATTTCCAGGATTTCCCTGACCGTGGGAACCCTGTACATAGTTCTACTGTAGATGTGAGACTTTGAGGATCTTAAATGAGCGTGAATGACTCTGGTGACATGTCGGTGTGTGATGGGAGTGTGACAGGAGTGACGTCATGCTGTGTGACACTGTCCTGTTTTCTGTTCTGTCACAAATGTTGAGAGGAAACTTTGCTCTGGAGTGAAACACGTGTGTCAAAGCAGAGAGCAGTCGTGTTGTTTTCATGCAGTTATGGATCAACTTTGAGACCAGGAGAAACAGGAAGCACAGAGTCCAGACCCTGAGGTTTGGGCCGACGGACGACGGACAGAGCAGATCAATGTGGGCACCAATGTGAGCATGGGACATGGAGCGTGGGACGGTCCGGTGGGACGGGGACATGGGGGCGTGTGCTCACCCTGCAGGCTGCTGCCATTGGTGGAGGTGCAGTTTGGGGGCGGGGAGTTCTGAGGCCTCACGACGGGGGCGAAGGCGCTCTTCTGTTTGACTGTGGAGTACACAGGACATGAGCATGAGCCTGCCGGATCTGTAACACTGAGCGGGCAGACAGAGGCGACGGGACCGCCTGCCTGATCTGTATCAGAGGGGACGGACAGGACCAAACACCTGTCCACAGCTCGAGTCAGGAGCTCTGCTTCTCTAAAATGATCAGTGAAACACGTCTGACACAGATCAGGCAGCCCAGATCCGGGAGTGACAGCGGTGGATGGAGTCATGCAGGAAACAGGAGAATGACACATGAAGATGTGAGTGATGCCAACTTTATCAACACAGGAACTACAGGCCTGGAGGCTCAGAGCAGCGAGTTTATGAATCCTACTATGACCACGCCAAAGTTCACCAAACTCTGCTTCTGATTGGCTGAGCTTCAAACGTCATCGACCAGCAGCAGCGACAGTTTGAAACTTCAGTCTTGGAAACTGGAAAGATTCTGTTTAGTGATGTACATTTGCCCACATTACATTATTTATTTTCATACCTAAAAAAACTATTTGTCGCCCACTAATTGGCTTCCTACTGTAGGTCAGGTCTGGCCTAACTAAAACACGCTTCAGTGTGTCATGTGATTTCCATCACGTGACTTTGACTTCACACATGTAAGAGAGAAATATTAATATGATCGTTCATGTTGTAACTGATGAACAGTGTAACTACACAGTTAAAGACATGAGCCTGTTACTATTTAGTTCCATCTTCCGCTGATGCAGATCACGTGTTTCGGTCGAGCCATGAAGCTCGACCAATCAGAAGCAGAGTTGGAGGAACTTTGGTGTGGCCATAGTAGGATTCATAAAATCATCAGAGGAGCAGGTCTAAGCCCACGCAGTCTGAGCACTGTAACACATCTACAGTATACGACACAGTGACGTGTTGAGGTGAGTTGGCAGCACGGATCGGGCCCTGGCTCTGATCATGAGGACCATGCAATGAGAAGAACCAAAGCTCTCAGTCCAAAGTTGATCCATAACTCCAGAACTTCAGCACAACTGCACCAGACTCCACAGACACAAACATGCACAAGAGACCGAAGAGAAACCAGCACAAACACAAACTACAAACTCCATAAACTCCACAAACTCCACACCGAGAGGGAGACGAGTCTGTCCTGATTCAGTCCTCAGTATGCATGCTCCCAGTCCAGATTTAGACCTGGTTTAGACCTGGTTTAGACCTGGTTTAGACCGGGTTTAGACCTGGTTTAGACCGGGTTTCAGGGTCTTTTGATGGTTAAAGTCACTCTAGATCAGCCTAAGAACAGGATCTTAAACAAACGTAAACAAAGACTAGATCCAAAATAAATCACAAATGAACTTAACAGGTCTAATGACTAAGTGACTAATAAATAGGAAGTGTTCATGGAGGCGATTCCAGCTCCATCGCCTCTGGCTCCAATTCACTTTAAATTGAAATAATGTCGTCTCTCTCTCTGAACCTGCAGCTGTGAACCTCGTCATGTTGGTCTTGAAATGTTCGTATGAACCCACTACATGATCTTGATGTTTTTATTTCCAACTCACTCAGATGAGGAACCACAAAGTAGACCAGGACTGAACCAGGACTATACCAGGACTGAACTAGGATTAAACCAGGACAAAACCAGGAATGAACATGGACTAAACCAGGACTGAAGAAGGACTGAACCAGGACTAAACCAGCACTGGACCAGGGCTAAACCAGGACTAAATCAGGACTACACCAGAACTAAACCAGGAGTAAACCAGGCCTAAAGCAGGACTAAACCAGGATTTAAACAGGACTGAACCAGCACTCAACCACAACTAAATCAGGACTAAACCAGGTCTGAACCAGGACTAAACTAGGACTCAAAATCCCTAAAATATGACTAATGAACATAATTTTTATTTAATATTTTTTTCCCCCTTAAATAAATTCCTTTTCCCAATATGTAACTTGCTTCCAATTTGTTCCTAAAACTGAAGTCTCAGACTAAACCAGGTCTAAACCAGGTCTAAACCAGGTTTGAACCAGGACTGAACCAGGTCTAAACCACAACTAAACCAGGATTAATCCGGGATTAAACCAGGATTAAACAAGGACTAACCCAGGTCTGAACCAGGACTAAACTAGGACGCAAAATCCCTAAAATATGACCAATGAACATGATTTTTATTTAACTATTTTTTCCTTAAATAAATTAATTTTCTGGCTCCAAATTCGTTCCTAAAACTGCAGCCTTAGACTAAACCAGGTCTAAACCGGGTCTAAACCAGGACTAAACCAGGACTTCTCGGTTGTGGATTTCCTCCGGGGGCAGGAGCGAGTTGGAAGTGGTTTTCCGTCGGTGGCAGGAGTTCTGGATCGCTGCTCCTTTTGGCTCTGAGCTCAGATTTATTTTTGATTTGAAATGGACCCAACCCAAAGTGTAAGAATCCCACAAGGACGAGGAGCGGGAACGTGAGGATGTGAGGATTCAGAGCAAGGAAACGAGAAGAGGAGGAGGAAGGAAGAGGAGGAGGAGGGGAAGGAAGAGGGGAGATGGGGACGAGAAGGAGAGGAAAGGAGGAAGGGACGAGGAGAGAAGGAGACGAGGAGAGGAAGGAAGAGGAGGAGAGAAGGAGACGAGGAGAGGAAGGAAGAGGAGGAGGAGGGGAAGGAAGAGGGGAGATGGAGACGAGAAAGAGGAGAGGAGAAAGAAAGGAGAGGAGAGAAGGAGACGAGAGAAGGAAGGAGAGAGGAGAGAGAGGAACGAGGAAGAGGAAGAAGAGGAGGAGGAGAGAGGAGGAGACGAGGAGAGGAAGGGAAGAGGAGGAGGAGAGAAGGAGAAGGAGAGGAAGGAAAGAGGAGAAGAGAAGGAGAGAGGAGAGGAAGGAAGAGGAGGAAAGAAGGAGAAGGAGAGGAAGGAAGAAGAGGAGGAGAGAGGAGAGAGGAGAGGAAGGAGAGGAAGAGAGAAGGAGACGAGGAGAGGAAGGAAGAGGAAGAGAGAAGGAGACAAGGAGAGGAAGGAAGAGGAGGAGAGAAGGAGACGAGGAGAGGAAGGAAGAGGAGGAGAGAAGGAGACGAGGAGAGGAAGGAAGAGGAGGAGAGAAGGAGACAAGGAGAGGAAGGAAGAGGAGGAAGGAAGGAGATGAGGAGAGAGAGGAAGAGGAGGAGAGAAGGAGACGAGGAGAGGAAGGAAGAGGATGAGATGAGAGGAGGAGATAAGGAGAAAAGGAGAGGAGGAAGGAACGAGAAGAGAAGAAGATGAGAAGAGGAGAGAAGGAGACGAGGACAGGAAGGAAGAGGAGAAGGAGAGGAGACGAGGAGAGAAGGAAGGGAGGAGACGAGAGGAGGAGAGAGGGAGACGAGAGGAAGGAGAGGAGGAAGGGAGGAGATGAGAGAAGGAGAGAAGTAGATGATGAGAGGAGAAGAGAAAGAGACGAGGGGAGGAGGAGAGAAGGAAGGAGATGAGGAGAGAAGGAAGGGAGGAGACGAGAGGAAGAGAGAAGGAGACGAGGAGAGGAAGGAAGGAGATGAGAAGAGGAGGAAGGAAGGACGTGTGGAGAGGAGGGGAGACGAGGAAAGGAGGGGTGAGGAGGAGAGAAGGAAGGGAGGAGACGAGAGGAGGAGAGAAGAAGACAAGGAGAGGAGGAAGGAAGAGAGAAGGGAGGAAGGAGAGGAGAGAGGAGAGAAGGAAGAGGAGGAGAGAGGAGACGAGGAGAGGAAGGAAGGGGGAGGAGAGAAGGAGACGAGGAAAAGAAGGAAGGATGAAGGAAGGAAGGAAGGAAGGAAGGAGACGAGGGGAGGAGGAAGGGAGGTGATAAGGGGAAGGAGGAGAGAAGATTAGGACTGGAGGACACAAGAGGAGGAACGAGGTAGAACACTAGGACTGAACTGGGACTAAACCAGGACTAAACCAGGACTGAGTCAGGACTAAACCAGGACTAAACCAGAACTAAACCAGGACTAAACCAAGACTAAACCAAGACTAAACCAGGTCTTATTTAAAACCATCTAAATCAAGACTATATCAGAACTAAACCAGGACTAAACCAGGTCTGATCCAGGTCTGAACCAGAACAAAACCTGGTCTTATTTAAAACAATCTAAACCAGGACTAAACCAAGACTAAACCAGAACTAAACCAGGACTAAACCAGGACTAAAACCAGACTAAACCAGGACTAACCAGACTAAACTAAACAAGACTAAACCAGAACTAAACCAGGACTAAACCAGAACTAAACCAGAACTAAACCAAAGAACTAAACCAGGACTAAACCAGAACTAAACCAAGACTAAACCAGAACTAAACCAGGACTAAACCAAGACTAAACCAGGACTAAACCAGAACTAAACCAGGACTAAACCAAGACTAAACCAGGACTAAACCAGGACTAAACCAGGACTAAACTAGGTCAGATCCAGGTCTGAACCAGAACTAAACCAGGTCCTATTTAAAACTATCTAAATCAGGACTAAACCAGAACCAAAGCAAGACTAAACCAGGCCACAACCAGAACTAAACAAGAACTTGACCAGGACTTAACCAGACCTAAACCAGGTCTGAACCAGGTAAAAAAAAATATTATTTAAAATAATCTAAACCAAGACTAAACCAAGACTAAACCAGAACTAAACCAGGACTAAAATAGGACTAATGAACATGAAGGAGACGAGGTGAGGAGAAAAATTGATGGAGATTGAAAAATGCCGACGATGACCCCAGAAAAAAAATAAAAAAAGTTTAGTCCAGTCTGTAAATTCTGGGTCAAAGGTTTGAATATAACTACAGTTTGAACCTGTTCTAGGTCTAAACCAGGACTAAACCAGGACTAAACCAGGACTAAACAAGGATTAGAACAGGACTAAATCAGGTGAGATTTTATTTTTTACATTCTACACCAGGAATTAACCAGGACTAAACCAGGTCTGAACCAGGATAAATCAGGTCTTATTTAATACAGTCTAAACCAGGTCTGAACCAGAACTCAACCAGGACTCAACCCAGACTCGACCAAGACTAAACCAGGCATAAACCAGGACTAAAGCAGATCTTATTTAAAACAGTCTAAACCGAGACCAAACCAAGACTAAACCAGGTCTGAACCAGAAAAAAAAAAGTCTAAAATAATCTAAACAAGGACTAAACCAGGACTAAACCAGAACTAAACCAAGAATAAAAAGAGAACTAAACCAGGACTAAACCAGACTAAACCAGGACTAAACTAAGACTAAACAGAACTAAACCAGACTAAACCAGAACTAAACCAGACTAAACCAGACTAAACCAGAACTAAACCAGACTAAACCAGAAGACTAAACCAGAACTAAACCAAGACTAAACCAGACCTAAACCAGAACTAAACCAGACTAAACCAGACTAAACCAGACTAAACCAGAAAACTAAACCAAGACTAAACCAGAAAACTAAACCAAGACTAAACCAGAACTAAACCAGGACTAAACCAGAGACTAAACCAGAACTAAACCAAGACTAAACCAGAACTAAACCAGACTAAACCAAGACTAAACCAGAACTAAAGACTAAACCAGACTAAACCAGAACTAAACCAGGACTAAACCAAGACTAAACCAGAACTAAACCAGACTAAACCAGAACTAAACCAGGACTAAACCAGAACTAAACCAGAACTAAACCAGAGACTAAACCAGACTAAACCAGAACTAAACCAGGACTAAACCAAGACTAAACCAGAAACTAAACCAGAACTAAACCAAGACTAAACCAGAAAACTAAACAGAGACTAAACCAAGACTAAACCAGAACTAAACCAGGACTAAACCAAGACTAAACCAGAACTAAACCAGACTAAACCAGAACTAAACCAGGACTAAACCAAGACTAAACCAGAACTAAACCAGACTAAACCAGACTAAACCAGAACTAACGAAGAACTTGAAGAGGACTAAACCAAGACTAAAACAGGTCTGATCCAGGTCTGAACCAGAACTAAACCAGGACTAAACCAGGATTAAAACTAGACTAATCCAGGTCTGAACCAGGTCCGGACCAGGTCTACAACACAGACGGTATCGGACTCATTTCTTATTTCTTCTAAAAATCATAAATTCCTCTGTAAATCCGTATTATTCTCCTAAATTCCCCTCCATCCCGGCGGTTCCAGGTGAGTTGTTGTTCTTCTCGCTCTGAATTCGTGCGGCGCTGGTGCTAATCCGCGCTCGCCGACTCCGCCGCGTTTGTGTCGAGTCCAGGGAGTAGCCCGCTCCCCGTGCCAGCTCCGGTCCGGTCTGAGCCGCGCCAAATGAGTCTCCGAGCGCGAGGAAAACTCTTTTAAAAAAAAACACCCAAACTCCCGCTTTTAAACCTCGGCCAAAACAAGGCTTCCCCCCGGAGGAGCGGAGGGGAATTACGGGCGCTAACGAACACACCTGAGTCTGACAGAGCTGCGGGCGATAGACGGGCCCGAGCCAGAGACTAGACCGAGCCCACAGCACCGCGGATGGAAACGAGGAGGTAATGGGAACGTCAGGACTAAACCAGGACTAAAACAGGACTAAAACAGGACTAAAACAGGACTAAACCAGGACTAAAACAGGAAAACAGGACTAAAACCAGGACTAAACAAGGACTAAAACGGGACTAAACGGGACTAAAACAGGACTGAAATGGGACTAAAACAGGACTAAAACAGGACTGAAACAGGACTGAAACAGGGCTAAACCAGGACTAAATCAAGACTAAAACGGGACTGAAACGGGACTAAACCAGGACTGAAACGGGACTAAAACAGGACTAAACAGGACTAAACAGGACTAAAACAGGACTAAAACGGGACTAAAACAGGACTAAACCAGGACTAAAACAGGACTGAAACGGGACTAAACCAGGACTAAACGGGACTAAACCAGGACTGAAACGGGACTAAACCGGGACTGAAACGGGACTAAAACAGGACTAAACCAGGACTAAAACAGGACTGAAACGGGACTAAACCAGGACTGAAACGGGACTAAAACAGGACTAAACCAGGACTAAACAGGACTAAACAGGACTAAAACAGGACTAAACTGGACTAAACCAGGACTAAACAGGACTAAACCAGGACTAAAACAGGACTAAACCAGGACTAAACCAGGACTAAAGCAGGACTAAAGCAGGACTAAACCAGGACTAAACCAGGTCTAAAATAGGACTAAAACCGGGCCAAAACAGGACTAAAGCAGAACTGAACCAGGACTGAACCAGGACTAAAACAGGACTAAAGCAGGACTAAACCAGGACTAAACCAGAACTGAACCAGGACTCAACCGCGACTCAACCGGGACTAAATCAGGACTAAATCAAGACTAAACCAGGACTGAACCAGGACCACTAAACCAGGACTAAACCAGGTCTAAACCAGAATTAAACTGGGACTAAACCAAGATTAAGACAGAACTAAACCAGGACTAAACCAGTTCTACTAAAGTGGCACATATTCAGATTTATCCTAAAATCTTGAGCTGAATCGAGCTCCATCTCCGGTTTAAGTCTCAACTCATCGACAGAAATAATCCCGAGTCTGACCAAAACTGACTGAGGCCTGAAGTTTAAGCTGCTCTTCGTACTCGCCGCGACTCCGAGAAGGACAGAGCAACGAAGCAACGAAACCACGGAAAATGGAAGAAGCCCTAAAAGTCATAAGTGCAGTAGTTCTTCTCTGAGCTGAGCTGAACCTTCATGTCGCAGATGGAGATGGAGATGCAGATGTGATGCCGGACTCTCGCTGAAGGTGGCGTACGCGGGCGCATGTGGGCGGGACTTACTGGCGTAGGCGGAGTTTCCTGTGGCTCCGTTGAGGAAGGAGGGCGAGGCGGGCACGGGCAGGTTGGTCATGCCTGATCCGTATCCGTTCATGGAGGAAGTGATGGTGTTGTAGTTGGACTGCTGGGGGGTGGAGCTGGGGGCGTATCCGCGCGGAGACACGGAGCTGGAAGTGCGGGAATATCCTGGGACAAAAACAAAACAACATGACATGACACAAGACCTTAGACTGGAGATACACTGTCGTGGATAAAACAGTCGGCACCCCTCTGGCAATGAAAGAAAAATCAACAACCATCACTGAAATAACTTGAAACTGATAAAAGCAATAATAAAATATAGCCGCAAGCAGCAATGATCAGCCCTCGCGCGCGCCTACACCTCGTCCCGCAAACCCTGTGCCTCGCAAAACACTGCACCGCGCACTCACCCTAATAATCGTAACCTTAAACCTAACTCTAGTCATAATCCTCACCACAGCCCCAACCCTAGCCCTAACTCTTAACATAACCCTGATTTTTTACATAATTTTTTCATGTATTTATTAAAACAAACAGGAGTGGTTGAAATATAAATTTTTTTAATCCTTTTGCCAAGATGCATCTGGCTACAAAATTTATTTTTTCTACACAAACTTTGTGTAAGGACGTCCCATTGGCAAGGGCAGATTTTGTGCTTGTTGCCATGGCGAACACCATGTCAGTGGGGTGTGGGCATCATTGAGTTTTTTAATTGAGACCATGTCACAAATGTGTATACCAAATTTTATGTATCTATGACAAATAAAACATTATTGTTCAAATTATCTAGGGGGCGCTACTGCACGCATTTTTGTATTTTCTTACAAGAATCTGTTCAGGGTCTGGGTGTGAACCCACAATTAAAATTTGAGTGAAATCAGCCAACGTTTGTGCCAAAATCTGTCCATTTTACCAATGGAATAACATGGAGAGTTTATGTCATTGCTATGGCAACGGCTTAAAAAATATGGCATGGGTCACTGACTTTTTGGATCAGGATGATCAAAATAGGTCTGAACCAGGTCCAAAACAGCTCTAAAACAGGTCCAAAACAGGCCTAAAACAGGTCCAAACCAGGTCTAAAACAGGTCTAAAATAGGTACAAAACAGGTCTGAACCAGGTCTAAACCAGGTCTAAACCAGGTCTAAACAGGTCTAAAACAGGTCTAAACCATGTATGAACCAGGTCTAAAGCAGGTCTAAACCAGGTCTAAACCAGGTCTAAACCAGGTCTAAAGCAGGTCTAAACCAGGTCTAAACCAGGTCTAAAACAGGTCTAAACCAGGTCCAAACCAGGTCTAAAACAGGTCTAAACCAGGTCTGAACGAGGTCTAAACCAGGTCTAAAACAGGTCTCAACCAGGTCTAAACCAAAGCTGAACCAGGTCCAAAACAGGTCTAATCTAGGTCTAAACCAGGTCCAAAACAGGTCTAAAACAGGTCTAAAACAGGTCTGAACCAGGTCTAAACCAGGTCTGAACCAGTTCTAAAATAAGTCTGAACCAGTTCTAAAACAGGTCTAAAATAGGTACAAAACAGGTCTAAACCAGGTCTAAAACCGGTCTGAACTAGGTCTAAAACAAGTCTAAACCAGGTCTAAACAAGGTCTAAAGTAGGTCTGAAACAGGTCTAAACCAGGTCTAAACCAGATCTAAACCAAGTCTAAACCATATCTAAACAGGTCTGAACAAGTCTGAACCAGGTCTAAACCAGGTCCAAAACAAGTCTGAACCAGGTCTGAACCAGGTCTGAACCAGGTCTGAACCAGGTCTGAACCAGGTCTGAACCTTAAGAGCGCTGCGTCCTAATTAAATTCCGTCATAGTTAATTTCCTCCATAAATCGTTAGGCTGTAGCTGGGGATGTGTTTAATAAAGCTACAATAATGATTTTAATGAGCGAGACTTTTAATAAACCATGAGAGACGAGCCGAGCAGCGGGAGCCACCGGGGCCGGTAAACAAAACAGCACCGGAGCCAACGGAGGAGCAGTGAACGCACCACGAAACTAAACTCATGAACATGTGAAGTAAAAAAAAAAAAAAAAACACAACGCAAACTTCAACTGCGAACGAAAGACTGTTGGGCAAGTTACTTCAAAACTGTCATGTGTTGTTTATTTATGACGTGTTACTGTTATATTTTAAATAATTATACATTATAATTTGAATGTGTTTAAAATGTAAAATATTGCACGACTGTTACAGCAACAACAACTCTCAACAAAATAACTGTGAAGATGCTGAACTTTTGGACCGTGTATGGACTGAACCAGGACTGAACCAGGACTGAACCAGGACTGAACCAGGACTAAACCAGGACTGAACCAGATCTAAACCAGGATTGAACCAGGACTAAACCAGGACTGAACCAGGACTAAACCAGGACTGAACCAGGACTGAACCAGGACTAAACCAGGACTGAACCAGGACTAAACCAGGACTGAACCAGGACTAAACCAGAACTGAACCAGGACTAAACCAGGACTGAACCAGGACTAAACCAGGACTGAACCAAGACTAAACCAGGACTAAACCAGGTCTAAACCAGAACTGAACCAGGACTAAACTAGGACTAAACCAGATCTGAACCAGGACTAAACCAGGACTTAACTAAGACTAAACCAGAGCTGAACCAGGACTAAACCAGGACTTAACTAAGACTAAACCAGAGCTGAACCAGGACTAAACCAGGACTGAACCAGGACTAAACAGGACTAAACCAGGACTGAACCAGGACTAAACCAGGACTGAACCAGGTCTAAACCAGAACTGAACCAGGACTAAACCAGGACTAAACCAGGACTAAACCAGGACTGAACCAGGACTGAACCAGGACTAAACCAGGACTGAACCAGGTCTGAACCAGGACTAAACCAGGACTGAACCAGGACTAAACCAGGACTAAACCAGGTCTAAACCAGAACTGAACCAGGACTAAACTAGGACTAAACCAGATCTGAACCAGGACTAAACCAGGACTTAACTAAGACTAAACCAGAGCTGAACCAGGACTAAACCAGGATTGAACCAGGACTACACAAGGACTGAACAAGGACTAAACTACAACTAAACCAGGTCTAAACCAGGACTAAACTAGGACTAAATCAGAGCTGAACCAGGACTGAACCAGGACTAAACCAGGACTAAACCAGGACTGAAACCAGGACTGAACCAGGACTAAACCAGGACTAAACAAGGTCTAAACCAGGACTAAACCAGGACTAAACTAGAACTGAACCAAGACTAAACTAGGACTGAACCAGGACTAAACCAGGACTAAACAAGGTCTAAACCAGGTCTAAACCAGGACTAAACTAGAACTGAACCAAGACTAAACTAGGACTAAACCAGGTCTAAACCAGGACTAAACTAAGACTAAACCAGAGCTGAACCAGGACTGAAGCAGGTCTAAACCAGAACTAATTACATTAATTTGTTACTTTTATAACCTTTACTCCCAACACTGCGAATGACAGACTGTTACACTTTCATTTTCTCACATTTCTACTTAATTTGGTGGGATAATACCTGCCGTGAATATAAATGATAAATTATTATAAAATAATTCAGTCCAAAAGTTCGCCACAATAGACCTTTTTCACAACGGTTGGAAGCGCTTTAGGTTTCTGGACTTTCCGGTTCATGGTTTTTTCCGTTTTGGCAAAATATCTGTGTAAATGTGTCGTTTTCTCCACCAGCTTCATAAATCTGCCCCATCACCAAATCTCCAACCAACAAGGTCCACAGAGAATTTATCCACAACTATCACCGCAAGAAAGACGAAAACTTACAGGTGAACAACGACTAAACAACGGCAATGTTTCTTTCCAAAATTAGGCCCTAAGTTCCCACATTTCCTTTATCATCACATCAGATTTTATCCCCATTTCTCCCAATTTGGTCGTCAATTACACCCGATATATTCTCCAGCAGCAGATCCTAGGTTGAAATTACTCTGTATCAGCCCTTTAAATGCGGTATTAAAAAAAAGAAATCTTACTAACATTATGGTCCAAGAGATGTCTCCCATTGGAACTGCACAAATCTGTCTGTGCTAATATCGACGTCATGAAATCGATTTTTAATTTTTATTGTAGAATCAGTCTGAGTGAACAAGTTTCTTGAACTGTTTTATTCATGACCATAATGTTAGTTTTGCTCAGTAGTTCACTAATGCGTCGTCGTCGTTCGCCTTTAAGTTTTCGTCTTTCTTACCTTGATACTTGTGGATAAATTCTTCATGTTAGAATGTTTATCCTTTGTCGTCGACCTTGTTGGTTGAAGATTTGGTGATGGGGCAGATTTATGAAGCTGCTGGAGAAAACGCCACACATTTACACAAAAAAAGTTTGCCACAGAAAACCATTAACCGGAAGTTCCACAAACCTAAAGCGAGGCACTTCAGGCTGTTGTGAAAAAGGTCTATTAGGTGATGTTTTTGGTCGAAACTATGAAATTTTTTATTCATTTTGGTCTTTCGTCCACATGGAGCTGACGTTTTGTCTGGGTGAAAACTGTGTCTTTGAAAATGGGCTCCAGAGTGGAGAAATCTGAAAACACGTTGCGTTGTCGTGTGGACAAGAAGACTGCAGCTTTTGGAAAACGATGACGTCACAACCCTGTCATCGCCACATGAGTGGAAGAGAACCCCGCGCAGGAAGGACTTTATGACTGTGACTGTGTGTACTTGAACATATTGAATTAAAAAAATAAAAAAAAAAAAAGGACTTAAAGGTTGTATAGAGGATTTTTTAAGGGAAGAGAAATAGAGCAACTGTCCATGTGCATGTTCCTCCTCCACAGCTCCTTCAGTAGAAACATCTCCTCCTCCCTCCTCTTTACTCTAGAAATCACACTTGTTTACAGCCGTGTGCGTTCAGAATTACTGTTGAAGTGACCTGTCTAGAAATAATTCCGACCGACGCGTCCCTTTTTAGACCCTTCGTCTGCTTCGGTCGCGCCATCGCTGGAAGGAATCTCCAAGAATCACCTCAGTTTGTCTTCGCTCCTTTTCCTCTTCTCTTCGTCTTTCAGCGACCTCAAAAACGGACTTTCTTTTACGGTGAACTGGTCGTGGATTCTCGTTCGCCGTCTCGACAAACTTTGCGCAAATTGCGAGGAAGCGACAGTTTGAAAAAGCCTCGAAGAACCGCCGCATAAACCACGAAATCCCTGTGCGTGGGGAGTTTGATTGACGACCTAACAGCCAATAGAAAAAGAGGGAGCCTCGTTTTCTGTTGGCTGATGTTTATCTGGCCTCAACACGTTCACAGTTGATAGATTTTCATTCTTTTTTTTTTTGGTCATCATAATTCCAAAGCTGCTGCGTCTCTGTAATGGTATTTTAAACTTTCATTGACAATTTGAAACAAAACAAAAAATCCTCCATACAACCTTTAATGCGTCTGCTCTTGTTGTAGTGTTGTGTGTCCAGTGGTTCTGGCTGTATTATGTATTATGCTGTTTTCACTCTCTGTTGTCGTCTGGACATGAATATTTATTGATCCGTGGACACAGATTTTTTTTCAACCCGCAAGAAAAAAAAAAAAAAAAGAAATCCAGGAGTGTTGTCGTGTGGTTGTAGCCTCAGTGACTAGACCCAAAGACTCTCTGCCTTAGGTGTGTTCTGTGGTGCATTGTGGGTAGTGTAGTACCCTGCTCTTGCGAGGCCTCCGAGATGTTGACGGCGAGCTGCGAGCTGAAGGAGTTGACTCCCATCATGCCGTGGGGCTGCGACCCGAGCGACGGCAGCTGGTTATGACCACGAGGAACCGAGTACAGCGCCTCCGTGAGGTCAGCGGCACGCTTCAGGATCAGCTCCTACAAAATAAAACACACGCTTCAGGATCAGCTCCTACAAAATAAAACACACGCTTCAGGATCAGCTCCTACAAAATAAAACACACGCTTCAGGATCAGCTCCTACAAAATAAAACACAACAGCTTCAGCTTCAGGATCAGCTCCTACAAAATAAAACACACGCTTCAGGATCAGCTCCTACAAAATAAAACACACGCTTCAGGATCAGCTCCTACAAAATAAAACACACGCTTCAGGATCAGCTCCTACAAAATAAAACACACGCTTCAGGATCAGCTCCTACAAAATAAAACACACGCTTCAGGATCAGCTCCTACAAAATAAAACACACGCTTCAGGATCAGCTCCTACAAAATAAAACACACGCTTCAACATCAGCTCCTACAAAATAAAACACACGGTTCAATATCAGCTCCTACAAAATAAAATACACTTCAGGATCAGCATCCTACAAAATAAAGCATAAACACTTCAGGATCAACATCCTAGAAAATAATATACACTTGTCAGACCAGCTCCTGCATCTCAAAAAAAATCTTACGATGATGAAATGGAAATAAATACAAATTAATTAAATTAATATTAAGATAAAAGAACTTTAGATTTTTTTATGACATAAAAAAGAGAGAAAATAGTTTGAATCCATGACAGTTTCCAGGTATCCCAGGTCTGTGTTCCTGATTTGCCTGGACTTCCGTGTAACCAGCCCTACTGTAGTCCAAATACTCAGAATACACAAAGTACTGCAGTATTAGTATCACGATGCTTCTTCTTCTTCTTCTTCTGTACGTACCTGGTTGTTGTGGGGCATGCCGTAGAGCGCCTCCACCAGGTCGGCCGCTCTCTTCAGCAGAACCTCCTGGAACAAACACAAACACACTCTCAGTCAATGTTTTTGTTTTCTTTTTTACCATTTTCTATATTTAATACACAAACAGAAAATATCAAATACAAGAAGCAAAAGAAGAAAAGAGAAAAGTGAAATAACTCAAAAACGCAAAACACAAAAAAGTAATATCTAGTAATTTAAGTTAAAATAACTTAAATTAAGAACATTTTCCTTTATTTGTGTAGATTCAACTTTAAAATACTTTAGAATCACTTTTGGCTTTACATCGGCTTTAATCAAATACGCTTGTGTACGCACATGTGACACGACTCGCAATATATGTGATCAGCTCCTACAAAATAAAACACACGATTCAGGATCAACTCCTACAAAGTAAAACACGTCAAACCAGCTCCTACAAAATAAAACACACACGCATCAGAACAGCTCCTACAAAATAAAACACATGCTTCAGGATCAACTCCTACAAAGTAAAACACATGTCAGACCAGCTCCTACAAAATAAAACACACATCAGACCATGATCTTTTTCTCACACTCATATGTAACATAACATAGTTTTAGTGTTCAGAAAGAAAACAAAAAAAAAATTACTATAAATCATCGAACCAAATGAACTAAAACACTTATAAACATGTTTATTAACATAAAAATCAAATCAATATCATGATCAATATCAAGATCCGTGTTGAATTGTGAGAAAACCGTATCGTTTCATCCCTAGTAAACATATATTATTTTAAAAAATAAATAAATAATGAGTTTGACTAGTCGTGTATATAATATGTATCATGTATTTACAAATATATAATTATAGATACTGAAGTAAAAAAGTAGTAGAGTACATTTGATAAAAATGACCAAGGGGAATAACACACATAGGCTACTTTAAGTACTTCACAAAGTGTGTACTAATATAAGTGTTTCCAACTGTTTTGTTTACATTACTAGAAAATATTATACATCAGTGTGTTTCTTGTATTTATTTGTGACCAGTGTTGGGGAGTAACAGATTACATGTACTGGAGTTACGTAATCAGAGTACAAATTATGAGTAACTGTATTCAGTTACAGTTACTGTTTCAGTGAGTGGTAATTGGATTACAGTTACTTTGTTGAAATAAATGGATTACACGGCGGTATTTTCCTGTTTTCACATTTTGGGCTAAATCCCCCTTTTCTTTTCTTTTTTTCTGTAATTCCACTCATTGCCGGAAATTAAACCAGGTCTAAACTAGATCTAAACCAGGTCTAAACCACGTCTAAACTAGACCTAAACCAGGACTAAACCAGGACTAAAACCAGGTCTAAACTAGATCTAAACCAGGTCTAAACCAGGACTAAAACCAGGTCTAAACTAGATCTAAACCAGGTCTAAACCAGGTCTAAACCACGTCTAAACTAGATCTAAACCAGGACTAAACCAGGACTAAACCAGGACTAAAACCAGGTCTAAACTAGATCTAAACCAGGTCTAAACCAGGACTAAAACAGGACTAAAACCAGGTCTAAACTAGATCTAAACCAGGTCTAAACCAGGAAAACAGGACTAAAACAGGACTAAAACAGGATAACAGGACTAAACAGGATTTAACAGGACTAAACCAGGACTAAACTAGATCTAAACCAGGTCTAAACCAGGTCTAAACTAGATCTAAACTAGACCTAAACTAGACCTAAACCAGGACTAAACTAGATCTAAACACGGTCTAAACCAGGACTAAACCAGGACTAAAACCAGGTCTTAACTAGATCTAAACTTGACCTAAACTAGACCTAAACCAGGTCTAAACCAGGTCTAAATCAGGAGTAAAACAGGACTAAAACAGGATTTGACAGGACTAAAGCAGGACTAAACTAAATCTAAACCAGGTCTAAACCAGGACTAAACCAAGACTAAAACAGGACTAAACCAGGACTAAACCAGGACTAAACCAGGACTAAACCAGGACTAAACCAGGACTAAACCATGCTGCGCAGACGTGTCTCCTCGTCTTCTATCAATAATATTTTTAATACGTTTAAGTAAAGTCGTATTTTCTTTTAGCAGACAAAACTTCTTATGTTTTGATATCCTGGTCTTTGCTTCTCTACAGCAAATCAAGTAATCCAAAGTATTCAGATTACATTACTCACTTTAAGTAATTTAATGGATTATGTTACAAACTACATTTTGGTGTGTGTAATCTGTAATCTGTAGGGAAATACATTTTAAAAGTAACCTTCAAAACACTGTTTGTAGTACTAGTACAAGTAGTAGTAGTAACAGTAGTAGAAATACAAGTGTAATCCAGACTATACTCCATCTTGTGTGACAAAACCGGAGGAATAAGGTGAAGTGACAGAGTTACTGCGCGAGGAGACAGAGGGGCTTTTGCAGACGTATAAATCACAGTGACACGTGTGAGATTACAGGCACCGGATAGAGGCGCTAGCACGGCTAACGCGGCTAACGGGCTCGCGCAGGTGCAGATGTGCAGATGTGGAGGAGCAGGAGAAGCAGCAGTCCCAGAGGAGCAGGCTGCGAGGACCTCTGCTGCCCTCCCCGGGGAATTACAACCACGCCGCAAAACACCAAGAATGTGCAGAGGAAGAAATAGAATAATATAACTGTTGTTCGTTTAAAGAGCTCATATTACACTGTTTTCTGATCTGTGGGAAGGGCTCCACTGTGTTTTTAAACTCCACACACCTTCACAAGAATCATTTGGAGAATTTCAGCCCTGAATTTTGACAATATTTACAGAATTAAAGGTAAAAAAAAACGGACCTGTTAACATGAAAACCACCACTGCACACTGCAAATTTTAAAACTTTAAAATATCTGGTTATTCATCTTATTTTGTGATTTATTTTTGACTTACCAGACCTGAGACTGCTTAATTCTAGTCTAGAGGTCGATTATTTTAACATAATGTGAAAATAATCTTGCTGCATGGACAGATAATTTCACTACTTTTAACTTCTTTTCTGATAGACTCAAGTGTTTATATCTTAAATTTTGGCCAAGATCACAACACAAGAGTCATTTTGGTGTAAAAGATAAAGCCTGTAATTGTCTCTTTTCTTCTTGAATGTTTCTGAAATTTGTCAAATTGTACTTTGAATTGTGGGAAAATAGTATTCTTAAATTCAGTCCTGTTTAGTGGTGGTTTAAATTCTGGTTTAGATCTGGTTTAATCTCAGTTCATCTTAATCCAGACCAGGTTAGGCCCAAATGTACAGTCTGGATTAGGTCATTGTTTTTGTCATTTGTGTATTTGTAATTTGTATTTTGTTGAACCAGGAATAAACGAGAAAAAATTACAGGGAATTTCAGATCAATCAATGATTTAAAGCAACACTACATAACTTTCTGGAGCATGATTCCATGGAAATAAAATAAAATAAAAAAAATAGAAGGACTTTATGACTGTGACTCTGTGTATTTGGACATATTGAATAAAATAAAATAAAAAAAAATAGAAGGACTTTATGACTGTGACTCTGTGTATTTGGACATATTGAATAAAATAAAATAAAAAAATAGAAGGACTTTATGACTGTTACTCTGTGTATTTGGACATATTGAATTTAAAAAAAAAATAAAAAAAATAGAAGGACTTTATGACTGTGACTGTGTATTTGGACATATTGAATAAATAAAATAAAAAAAAATAGAAGGACTTTATGACTGTGACTCTGTGTATTTGGACATATTGAATAAAATAAAAAAAAATAAAAAATAGAAGGACTTTATGACTGTGACTCTGTGTATTTGGACATATTGAATAAAATAAAATAAAAAAATAGAAGGACTTTATGACTGTGACTCTGTGTATTTGGACATATTGAATAAAATAAAATAAAAAAAAATAGAAGGACTTTATGACTGTGACTCTGTGTATTTGGACATATTGAATAAAATAAAAATTAAAAAAAATAGAAGGACTTTATGACTGTGACTCTGTGTATTTGGACATATTGAATAAAAAAAAAATAAAATAAAAAATAGAAGGACTTTATGACTGTGACTCTGTGTATTTGGACATATATTGAATAAAATAAAAAAAAAAAAATAGAAGGACTTTATGACTGTGACTCTGTGTATTTGGACATATTGAATAAAATAAAATAAAAATAAAAAATAGAAGGACTTTATGACTGTGACTCTGTGTATTTGGACATATTGAATAAAATAAAATAAAAAAAAAATAGAAGGACTTTATGACTGTGACTCTGTGTATTTGGACATATTGAATAAAATAAAATAAAAAAAATAGAAGGACTTTATGACTGTGACTCTGTGTATTTGGACATATTGAATAAAATAAAATAAAAAAAATAGAAGGACTTTATGACTGTGACTCTGTGTATTTGGACATATTGAATAAAATAAAATAAAAAAATAGAAGGACTTTATGACTGTGACTGTGTATTTGGACATTGAATAAAATAAAATAAAAAAAAATAGAAGGACTTTATGACTGTGACTCTGTGTATTTGGACATATTGAATAAAAAAAAAAAAAAAAAAAAATAGAAGGACTTTATGACTGTGACTCTGTGTATTTGGACATATTGAATAAAATAAAATAAAAAAAAATAGAAGGACTTTATGACTGTGACTCTGTGTATTTGGACATATTGAATAAAATAAAAATAAAAAAAAATAGAAGGACTTTATGACTGTGACTCTGTGTATTTGGACATATTGAATAAAATAAAATAAAAAAAATAGAAGGACTTTATGACTGTGACTCTGTGTATTTGGACATATTGAATAAAAAAAAAAAAATAAAAAAATAGAAGGACTTTATGACTGTGACTGTGTATTTGAACATATTGAATAAAAAAAAAAAAATTAATAAATAAATAAATAAATAGAAGGACTTTATAAATGTGACTGTGTATTTGAACATATTGAATAAAATAAAATAAAATAGAAGGACTTTATAACTGTGACCGTGTATTTGAACATATTGAATTAAAAATAAATAAATAAATAAATAAAAATAGAAGGACTATATAAATGTGACTGTGTATTTGAACATATTGAATTAAAAATAAATAAATAAATAAATAAAATAGAAGAACTTTATAACTGTAACTGTGTATTTGAACATATTGAATGAGAAAGAAAAAAGAAAAGAAAAGAAAAAAAAAAGGAAGGACTTTATGTGCATGTGCTATTTGTAGTAATTGTGTGTCGAGTGGTTCTGGCTGTTTTGTTTGTTTCCTGTATTGCATCATTTTCACTCCGTGCTCCGTTGTTGCCTGGACGTGAATATTTATTGATCCAACACATGTGGACGCAAATTTTTTTAAACTCGCAAAAAAAAAAAAAAAAAAAAAAAAAAAAAAAAAAATCCAGGAGTGTTGTCATGTGGACGTAGCCTTCGTGGTTTAACAAAGACTTTTCGTATCACAGCCATGATTTAGCGTTTGTTTTTATTGAACCGTATCGAAAGATTTACGTATCGTATCATACTGAATCGAAAGTGCACTGTATCGAAAAACGTATCGTATCGTGGCCTATGTATCGGTATCGTATCGGCAACTTCTTAATGACACCCAGCCCTTTTTGTGAAGTTGTTGTGTACAGTTTTGTGTCATGTTTTTGTATATTTATGGAGAATTGTCGTGTGGGTGAAGTAGATTTGTGGGCGGAGCCTCGTACAGAACCGTAAAGAAGGTTTGAATAGGACCCAGGAGAGATCGCTAGATTACTCAAACATACATGAACGACATAAAACCCCTTCAGAGATGTTTTTAATGAGGGAATAACGTTATAATAACACAATACTCTCTCTTTATGTGCTCTGCTTTGTCTTAAAAACACACGGTCGCGTCTTTAGCCCAGACCAACTCCTCCGTCTGTGCGCTAGCTTGTTTTTATTAGCGGCTAATGCTAGCGTGTCCATCTGCCGCCAGCGCTAACATCTGGGCTCTGTTTGCTGACTCCGACTCACTTAAACCCGCTCCGCTCGTTTAATCACGAGGCCGCGATAAAAGAGCTTTTAATTAAAGACGATCACCTGACGATGCAATCAACACCTGCCCCGCGCACCTGTCACGCACCTGTCACACACCTGTCACTCAAACAGACAGCTGACAACGGCATTTACATTTAAAAGCAGATCAGTACGTTTGATAATGACATATGTGGAGTTTAAATTAACCAGATTTTTACCGATTTAAAAAACTGAAAAACAGAATTAGATCATTTTAAACAGTTTGCAGTGGTTCAAAACTTATTCCTCACTTAATTTATTTAGTTTATTTAGCGCTTTTCATGACTTCAGAGACCAGAACAGAGTCACGGTAACGCTCGTAACAAGTAGGATGCTAACCGTGCACTTCCTGAGAAGTTTAAAAGTTGCTTATACTGAAATATCAAGACATATTTGGACAAGAATTAGACAAAAACAGGCCCAATCCTCGTCTAAAAATTGACTCTCACAGAAATTTTTTTAACATTTTCTCAGAGTTTATATGAGTCCAATCTGTTCTAGAGTTAATTTAACATTTTTTGGAAAAGTTAATTAAGTAACACTGGACCAAAGTTCCTGTTTAACCCCCAAATCAAGAGTTATATTCATGAGAGTAATATTTGTAGGGTTTTCCAGATTTAGCCAAACAACACAGAGTTTTATTTTTACACTTTATTTTAGTTAATTTAAGATGAAATTATGTACAAAACTGGTTCAGACTGGTTTTCTCTCACTACAGTTTGAAGTGGTGGGTGGGAGGAGCCAAGTTAACTCTAAGTACAATTAACTTCAACCATATCAACTCAAATAGCCCCAACTCCAACCCACATTTAACTTTCAAATAGTTAAAATAACACTTTTTGTGTTAAAAACAACAGAAATATTTCAACCTGCAGTTTTTCCTCTGCAGGTTGAACCAGGTCTAAACCAGGATTGAACCAGGATTAAACCAGGTCTAAATCAGGTCTAAACCAACAATAAACTAGGACTAAACCAGGATTGGACTAGGACTGAACCAGGTCTAAACCAGGACTAAACCAGGATTGGACCAGGACTGAACCAGGATTAAACTAGGACTAAACCAAGACTAAACGAGGTCTAAAGCAGGTTTGAACCAGGACTGAACCAGACCTAAACCAGGTCTAAACCAGGTCTAAACCAGGTCTAAACCAATAAACTAGGACTAAACCAGGATTGGACTAGGACTGAACCAGGTCTAAACCAGGACTAAACCAGGATTGGACCAGGACTGAACCAGGATTAAACTAGGACTAAACCAGACTAAAAACCAACAATAAACCAGGACTAAACCAGGATTGGAAACCAGGACTAAACCAGGTCTAAACCAGGACTAAACCAGGACTAAACCAAGGACTAAACGAGGATCTAAAGCAGGTTTGAACCAGGACTAAACCAAGACTAAACCAGGTCTAAACCAGGTCTGAACCAGGACTGAACCAGGACTGAACCAGGACTAGGCCTATATAAAGTAAGTCTGCAGTAGAACAGTAGATGGTCTGTAGGTGGCGCTGTACGTTCCTTATCAGTTCCATCAAGTGCCTGTCCCAATGAAAACATTACACTTCTCCCTCTCTCTCTCTCTCCTGTTGTTCTGTTTCTCTTTATCCCTCCCGCTGTACCTCTTTCACCTCTTTCTCCTGTCCTTCTGTCCCTCTCCCTCCTTCTCTCCCTTTCCCCCTCCGTTGCTTCCTCTCTCCTTCACTATTTTCCCTAATCTGTCCCTCCCTCTCTCCTCCCTTTCATCTCTCCTCCCTCCTTCCCTCTGTCCCTCTCTCTCTCTCTTCTTCCCCTCTCCTCTCACTCCCCTTCCTCCTCTCTCGTTCCCTCTCTCTCTCCCTCTACCCTATCCTCTCCTCTCTTCTCTCTCTCTCACTCTCTCTTCTCTCTCTGTCCCTCCTCTTCCTCTCTCTCCTTCTTCTCTCTCTCTCCCTTCTCTCCTCTCTTCCCTCTCTCCTTCCTCTCTCTCTCCCTCTCCTCTCTCCTTCCCTCTCCTCCCTTCTCTCTCTCCTTTCTCCTCTTCTCTCTTCCCTTCTCTTCCCTCTCTCTCTCTCCTCTCTCCTCTTTCTCTCTCCCCTCTCCCTCTCCTCTTCTCCCTCCTCTCCTTCCCCTCTCTCCTCTCTTCCCTTCTCTCCTTCTCCCTCTCCTCTCTTCCTCTCTCTTCTCTCTCTCTCTTCCTCTCTCTCCTCCTCTCTCTCTCTCTCTCTTTCTTCTTTCTTATCCCTCTATTCCTTCTCTCCTCCTCTCTCTCTTCGTTACTCTCCCTCCCCTCCTCTCTCCCTCTTTCTCTCTGCCTCCTTCCCTCCTCCCTCTCGTTTCCTTCCTCCCTCTACCCCATCCCTCCATCCCTTCTCTCCTCTCTCTCTTCTTCCCCTCTCCTCTTCTCTCTCTCCCTCCTCTCCTCCGCTCACACGTCTCATTCATCTTGATTTGGCGTTGTTGCCGCGGTGAACCACATTACGACGCCCGCCGCCTCCTGCCGTTTACGCTCCTGTCTCCCCCTCTCCCTCCCTCCTCCCTCCTCGCGTGGTTAATATGTATTTATTCAAAGGGGGGCGCCGTCGGACAAATGGATTCGTTGTCCCTGTCACGGTTCACTTTAGCTCCGCCCGCTCGCCGTCGCCTCGCCGCCGCCGCCATCTCGTCTGATTCACTTTTCCACACGCACTTCCTGTCCGGTTTGTTTTGTCCAGATCTCGTTTTGTCCCCAGAGAGGTTTTGTCAGTGAGTGAAAAGAACATATGTCGAGGTTTGGGTGGTTTAGTCTGGCGTGTGGGCGGGTGCAGACAGGTGCGGGCAGGTGCGGGCAGGTGAGGGTGGGGCGGGTGAGGAGAGGACAGACGGAGGACGGTTGGGTGACCTCGAGGGATCTCTGGTGTAGAAGAGGTGTGGATATTTGAGGACAGGTGTGTATGAGGCAGGTGCATGTGGCAGGCGTAAGTGACAGGTGTAAGTGACAGGAGTATATGTGACAGGTGCACAGACGTTCCTTGTCTAACCTCTCGGAAACTCTGGGGGTGTGGGTATGTATGTGTATGTGTATGTATGTGTATGTGTATGTGTATGTGTATGTGTATGTGTATGTCAGGTGTATGTGACAGGTGTATATGTGTCAGGTGTATGTGACAGGTGTATATGTGACAGGTGTATATGTGACAGGTGTATATGTGTCAGGTGTATGATGTACAGGTGTAATGTGACAGGTATGTGACAGGTGTATATGTGTCAGGTGTATGTGACAGGTGTATATCAGGTGTATATGTGACAGGTGTATATGTGACAGGTGTATATGTGTCAGGTGTATGTGACAGGTGTATGTGACAGGTGTATATGTGACAGGTGTATATGTGACAGGTGTATATGTGTCAGGTGTATGTGACAGGTGTATATGTGTCAGGTGTATGTATGTGACAGGTGTATATGTGACAGGTGTTATGTATGACAGGTGTATATGTGTATATGTGACAGGTGTATGTGACAGGTATATGTATGTATGTACAGGTATGTGACACAGGTGTATGTATGTGCAGGTGTGACAGGTGTATATGTGGACAGGTATATGTGTCAGGTGTATATGTGACAGGTGTAAGTGTACAGGTGTGACAGGTGTATGGGACAGGACAGGTAGTATGTGACCAGATGTATGTGTTAACAGGTGTCAGTCAGGTGTATGGAGTCAGCCAGGATGTGTATATATATGGAGCAGGTGTTTGTGTCAGGTGTATGTGTCCAGTGTACGTGACAGGTGTATAGGTGACAGGTGTTTGGTGACAGGTGTTTTGTGTGACAGGTGTTTGTGTGACAGGTGCGTTGACCTTGGGTAACCTCTCAGGGTTCCTTGGGTCTGAATATGTGTTTGGGATAAGTGTACATAGGACAGGTGTGTATGAGACAGGTGTGTATGAGACAGGTGTATGGGGCAGGTGTATGGGGCAGGTGTTTGTGTCAGGTGTTTGTGACAGGTGCACTGACCTTGGGTAACCTCTCGGGGTCCCCGGGGTGGCGGGGGATGACCTTCTGTAGCCTCTGGAAGCCGTAGTCGATGGTCGGTTCATTCAGAGCTGCACACAGAGACAGAGGTCAGGGGTCAAAGGTCAGATCAGATCTAATAGAGTCTGGATCATGGATCTACAATAAAACTGGATAAGCCCCTCCCCCTGTGTCCCGGCTCCAGACAGACTAGTGGTCGCTCCAGGTACTGCAGCTCCTGGGAGTTTGGGCCCAAAATTCTCCCTCTGAAACAAAACGTATTTTTTGTGAATTCAAACTGCCCGAATTCAAACTCACAAAAGTCGGATTTTGAAGGATTCATTTCTATTTTCACAACATAAACTAAAAAAAAAAATGTAAAATTAAATCCTCAAAGTTAGTTTTGTAAGGCTATGTTTACACTGAAACAATCACCGTATCACCGTATCGGAAACGATTTGTGTCCAGACACGTCATTTCTGTGTCCGCAGGTCTTCCCTGTCCACACAACTTTGAACATATTTGTTTACATTTTACAGAAATTAAACTTAAAACCACATGGCTCATTTGCATAAGCCTCAAAAAAACAGCTCGCTCCTTGTGCGCTGATGCGGTTCAGCTTCTGTCGGACTAAAGGTCACGACTCAGTGGAATATGAGTGTTCTTTCTATTAACCCTCTCAGGCTCAAATTAATTTTTAGTATCAGGAAAAATCTGATATTTGGGGAAAATTATAATATGGGTAGTAATATACAATTCTGACTTTTTTATCCTTTGTAAACAAAAAAAGTATTTTGCACTTCTGGCAGGCCGTTTGCGTGTAGCCATTCTTGCACAGTCTGCATCGCCCACGTTTATCAGCATGGATGGGAGAAAAGCTCCTGAGTAAAAAAAGCTCATATAATATGGATGTGGAGTAAGTAGGTACTTGGAATTTAGCTGTTGCAAATCTGCAACGCCTGCCTGGAGAGGGTTAAAGAGCGGTGTTCTGCTGATGGTGAGTCTGTTCTGTGCTTCTATCACGTTTGAGATGATTCATGTTCACAATAGTGTCACATGAGCGATGTTACAAACCCAGCGAATCAGGAAGACCCAACTCACAGTGTTGTGGTCCAATAAGGAGGCAACTAGAGCTCCTACATCAGAGTATCAGCGTTTTCAGGCGTCCACACAGTCTCTGGAGCTGTTTTCCATCGGATTAGTGTGAACAAACACTGCATCCACAATGAAAACGACTCGAATACATACTAGTGTGGACAGGGCCTGAGACTCTCCGCTCTGAGGTGCTCCTAGCTCCGCTCCGCTCTAGCTCCAGCGCCTAGCTCGCGCCGTCCAGCGCCGCTCAGCGCTCAGCGCCGCTCTCGCTCGAGCTCGCTCTAGCTCCGCTCTAGCTCCGCTCTAGCTCCGCTCTAGCTCCGCTCTAGCTCCGCTCTAGCTCCGCTCTAGCAGCTCTCGCTCTGATTGGTCCAAACGCTCCACGCCGTGCACGTTACAGACGTCACACGGTGGGAGGAGCTCGTCCGGACTGAGGAAGTAAATGCGGGGAAAATAATGTTTTGGGTCCATGAGCCAATGAGCACAGACCCCTGAAAACAACACAACACCATCTTGGATTCATCAAAGGTTTTATTACAGTTCTGTGATCCAAACCCATTGTGTTTGTGTCTGAGGTTTAGTTATAGTCTGTAACACTTGTGAATTTAGTCCTGCGTTAGTCCTGGTTTAGTCCTGATTTAGTACTGGTTTAGTCCTGGTTTAGTACTGCTTTAGTCCTGATTTAGTCCTGGTTTAGTCCTGGTTTAGTCCTGGTTTAGTCCAGGTTTAGTCCTGGTTTAGTCCTGGTTTAGTCCTGGTTTAGTCCTGGTTTAGTCCAGGTTTAGCCCTGGTTTAGTCCAGGTTTAGTCCAGGTTTAGTCCTGGTTTAGTCCTGGTTTAGTCCTGGTTTAGTCCTGGTTTAGTCCTGGTTTAGTCCTGGTTTAGTCCTGGATTTTAGTCCAGGTTTAGTCCTGGTTTAGACCTGGTTTAGTCCTGGTTTTAGTCCTGGTTTAGACCTGGTTTAGTCCTGGTTTAGTCCTGGTTTAGTCCTGGTTTAGTCCTGGTTTAGTCCAGGTTTAGTTGTTTAGACCTGGTTTAGTCCTGGTTTAGTCCTGGTTTAGACCTGGTTTAGTCCTGGTTTAGTCAGGTTTAGTCCAGGTTTAGTCCTGGTTTAGTCCTGGTTTAGTCCAGGTTTAGTCCTGGTTTAGTCCAGGTTTAGCCCTGGTTTAGTTAGTCCAGGTTTAGGTCCTGGTCCTGGTTAGTCCCAGGTTTAGTCCTGGTTTAGTCCTGGTTTAGTCCTGGTTTAGTCCTGGTTTAGTCCTGGTTTAGTCCTGGTTTAGTGGTTTAGTCCTGGTTTAGTCCTGTTTAGACCTGGTTTAGTCCTGTTTAGTCCTGGTTTAGTCGGTTTAGTCCTGTTTAGTCCTGGTTTAGTCCAGGTTTAGTCCTGGTTTAGTCCTGGTTTAGTGGTTTACCTGGTTAGTCCTGGTTTAGACCTGGTTTAGTCCTGGTTTAGTCCTGGTTTTAGACCTGGTTTAGTCTGGTTTAGACTGGTTTAGTCCTGGTTTAGTC